CGCCGCCACCGCCGGAGCGCCCGGCCCGGCCCGGCCCTGAGCGCGGGCGAGCCCCTGCGCCCTCCCGGGCCACCACTTACCGGCGGCCCCGCCGCACCGCCACCCGCGCTCCCACCAGGGCGGAGGGAGGGAAGGAAGAGAGGGASGAAAAAAGGGAGGTGGGAAGGAGGAGACGGAGGGAGGTTCGCCCAGCTCCAGCCCCAGCCCGGCGGCGACGTGCCCGTTTATGTCCCCGTGCGCCGGTACCTGAGCCCGCGGAGCGGGGCTCGGCGGCCGTGGGAGCTGCGGCGCTGCTGGGAGCCCGAGGCGGCGGCGGGAGGGCGGCCAAGCGCCGCCCCGGGGCCCGGCCCACGCGCTCTTCCCTTCCCTCCCTTCTTCCCTCCCTCCTCCCCGCTCCGCGGCCGCCATTTTCCGTCCCGCGSGGCCCGGAGCGGCCACAGGGCCCCGGGGAGGCCCCCGGCCTCGTCCCGCTGGCGGCCTGGCCCTGCTGCCGGGCCGATACCGCGCCTGGGCTGCGCCGTGGCACCCTCGCTCCGGTAATGGCCCGTGCTGCTGCTCCCGCTGCGCTCACAGCCATCGCAGCCCTGTTTCTGGAGCAAGTTTCTACGTGGAGGAGGAAAAGGAAGGGCCGGAGCGATGCTAGGGCAAATGGGACCGGTTTGCCAAGACCAGGCYTATTCCCAGCACAACAGAGACATGTAGGATTTCCTCTGCTGGGATAAGGACCAGCCAAAGGGCTCACTTAGCACCTTTAGCTGGTTGCTGGTTTAACTGGAAGGCAACGGGGCAGGCAAAGTAACAGCAGAGCAGTTAMGGAAGCTTTAGGGTGATGGTCCAGTGAGTGGTCATCTCAGATGATCTTCGGGCCACTCGCACAATTTATTATTCACCAGGGCATGAGCAATTAGTCCAAGGGATGAAATGCAAATAAATGAAAAGAGATAAATAGGCTGCTTGGGGACTGTCAGGTCAGACCATCACTGAAGACTTAAGTGTCTGGAAATCAGTCACTATGGGGGCAAATGTCCTTCTCCAGGCCACCCTAGTTGGCCAGGCAGGACCTGTGAGCCCAGCACATGTAGTGTGAAAGAACAGAGTGGAAAAGGGTTCCGAGAGGGTTGGTTTTTAGGGGAGCCAAGGAGGCACAGAGGTGGTGACAGGATGGGTTCAAGAAGAGAGAAAAYGGGGGATAACATGTAAATCAAGTAAACAACACGAAAAGATGGTGTTTTCTGAGAGTGGGGGTATGGATGCGTACAGATGGTGATGTTCAAAAATAAAGATGATGTGAAGTAAGCATGTCCAGTTCCTCATTTCATCTTTAGCTCTGTCTGGGATCTCACACTTAATTTAATCTCTCTCTAGTGATTTCTGCTCTGYGTCTAGGCCTATCTAGAAGTCCAGGTTCCATTATATTCACTCTAAATTACTCTCATTTTCAAATTGAAGCCTGAATAACCTTTCCAAGTCAGCTTAGTTTTTGTTTTAATCCATATATAGCCCATTTCCTTCCAACCAAAACCTACTTTAGTAGCAGTATTGTCCCCAGCATCTYGAAATACAAAGAATATCAATGTCCCTAGCCCCCATGTCAACTACATGTTTTGGTTCCTCATTACTTAAGACATAGTGTCAGGATACTTTATCTTAAGGAATGTGAAATTACATCAGAAAAAATAAAAAAGATTAGCTATGCTATCAAGAAATTGTATCTTGATAACACACATGGAGTCACAAATGGAAAAGTTATGTGGAAACTGTATCCCGGTTGGGTAACCTTGTAGCTCGGTGTTGGAAATGATGTGCTGGWAACAGGCCAGAGGCTTTGATCTAATTTTGCACTGCCTTAAGGTGAGGATTTATGAAGACTACTTTTACCTGGGCTAGTCTTGTCCTGCCTGGGGCTCTGTCTCAGCTTGTTTAGCTGCAACAGCCCTTGCTCAACAATCAGGTCCATCCATAACAATCAGGACCAACCATTACCAAACTTGTTTTAACTGTGTTTTGTGTGCAACAATTAAGACAGTTTTGATGTGTCCCTGTGTAGCTACACGTGCAACAATTGTTAGCTTTTCTGTGCAGAGTGAACTACGCGTGACCCTAGTGCAGAGGAGTAGCAGCATAGGAGGAGAGCAGGGGCCTTGACAGCGCAGGCACGAGGTGATACCACAGGCCCCAGGGTTACACATACATCACCAGGGCTTAATTACTGTTCCATGAAGGAATGCCGCCTTGGGAGCTGGTGTAACTGTTTTTAAGGATAACGAAGAGAACAAAGATAAAGTATCTGACACGATATAATATATACCATGTCTGCTGAATTGAGGCAGAGGAAGACATTGTGAAGAAATAAAGAAAGAACATGATATAGCACTTGAGAAAACATACAAAAATAAACCCAAACCCAACACCAGAGCAAGGAACACCATCATCATCAAAATATTCCCAGTAGAGAATACGGCCCATTTATGACTAACCATAATTCCCTTTCATTTTGAGGATAACTGTTGACCTCAGAAGCCAGAGAGGCAGGCGAAGAGTGAGCATAACAACAGCCAAAAGGGATAGATTCTAGAAAGTGCATGCACATCAATGTTAAGTCTATAATTAGTGTATCTTTTCTGGTAATAATTACATAAATAGGACTATTATTGTTAGTACTATTGTAACAGACCTAATAATAATGCTTAGATTAAGCTATTATATAGATCGCTGTGTTACTTAGTTTAGTTTCATCTTCTTTTTAAAATGAAATGTATTATTGGTTTTGTTTGGTCTCATTACCTCTGCTTGAAGCCCATTGCCATAGGGATGCAGCAATGGGTCCATGGGTCAGATTTGTTTAAACATTCCAAAATATTTGATGGGTCAGGCAATACAAGTCTTAAAAACTATTTCCTGCCAATGATCCTTATAATCTATACTTTAAAGAGGATTTTAGGGCTCTGTCCATACATACTTCAAACTTGCATTCTGTCCAAACAGCTGTGAAATATTTCCACACAGAGGCTGAATCATCTGATTCTAGCGCTGAGAGTTTTCTGGATTTGTGGCTAGGATCAGCTTGCCTTTTAGTGTTTTTGCGGCAATAGTCTTGCCCATGCTGCTGACATGATGGTTAAAAAGGATGTCTTGAATCTGGTATTTTTGGCCTTGGAGACTGAAAAGTTACCAATTTTGATTGTTGTAGGGTCTCCTCCTGCTTTGGGTCTCACTCACAGTGTCTTTGCTTCTTTAGCAACTGTGTTAGCACATATGCTAACTCTATCCTGAGAGGTGGGAGCAAGGTTCAAAGCAGAGCCACAGCCCTAGATGTCAGGAGAGGAGACTCTGCCGTCTTTAGGGACTTGCTTGGAAGGATCCTATGTGATAGGGCCCCAGCAGGAAGAAGGGCCCAACAAAGCCGGTTGATATTGAAGAATCTCCTCCTCCAAGCTCAAGAAACATCCATTGCAATGAGGAAGAAAGGAGCAAGGGAGGCAGGATGAATAAGGATCTCCTGGCAAAACTCAGACATAAGAAGGAAGTATACGGAAGGTGAAAGCAGAGACAAGTAACCTGGGAGAATATACAGACATTGTCTGAGTATGTAGGGATAGGGCTAGGAAGGCCAAGGCCCACTGGGAGTTTAACATGGTGAGGGAAGCCAAGGACAACAAAAAAAGACTTCTTTAAATACATCAGTAGTAAAATAAAGAGTAAGGGAAAAGCAGCCCGCTACTGAATGTGGCAGGAACCCTTGTGACAAAGGACACAGAGGACAAAGAAATGTTTTTGATGTGCCCTTCACACTTAAGGGTACTCCAGTACTTTGGGAGCTGASAGTCCAGTGTTGTGATACTTTGTCTTTCAATCTTGTCCCACTTGTTCTTGAGTTAACTACAATGATTTACTCCTTTTTGTCTCCTTCTCTGGGCACATTATGGTTCCAGTCCTGTTCCAGTCAACTCTATTGAAATTGTGGGTTTTTTGCTTTGTTTTGCTTTGCTTCATTTTGTTTTCCTTTCTCCCTCTCTCATTTGTCAGTTATTCTGAGTGGTTCACAGAWTCACAGAATATTTAAGGTTGGAAGGGACCTCTACAGATCATCTAGTCCAACCTTCCTGCTCAAGCAGG